GGGGGGGGGGGGGGGGGGGGGTCGTCTGCACTGCGGAGAGCTAGAAAATGGAAAATCTCTCTCTCTCCCTACAATCTTTGTCATCTCAGGGTCGTGACAATAAAGATGCAAAGTTTTAAAAATAGTTTTTGATAAAATGTCATATTCTTGTTAAATAAAGCTGATAAAAAAAAAAACAAATGCAGATTGATTGAACCTGAGTGACACATTCAATCCTAGAAACAAGGTTTATAATATACTTAAAGAAATATCATCACCAAGACAAAGAACAGGAACAAGCCTAAGAAACTTCTCCGTCACTACACAACCGTCACATAACTTTATCTGCAGCGTCTGACCTCGGCTGAGCAGCTCACACATTCAGTGTCAGATTCTATTTTCTGGAAATGAAATTATAAAACTGGTTAATCTGACACTTGCTCTTACATTAACCCATGATGGGTATTACAGATACGATGGACTAACTATCAGATGAGCCCGGGCCATCATCATCATCATCATCATCATCATCATCACACTGCTTCATATTTGCAAAAACATCACAGTAAAACTGAATCAACTTGTGTGTGAGTAAAAATTAAAAACTTTTAAATTCTCTCCAATCCAGTGTGACATCACAGTGTTTCTGTGACCAATCAACTCTGATCCTCACAAGTACACCCACACAACATCATTTGGAATTTGTGTGCACGTGCCCGCACAAACCCTGTGTGGGGGGAAGGGAACGAGAGAACACAATGCTCTTCTGCTTGAACACACACGCGCACGCGCACGCACGTGCACACACACGAAAGTTGCTAGACGCTGATTTTCGTGACGTGGGAATAAACTTCACTGAATGAAGTGCACACAGCATGATGCAAACACAATCACCAGCAGTACGACAGTAGTTTGCGTGATCATCTCACTGCCGCACAAAGTACTAAATGAACAGAGGTGCCAGAATGCCGAGGTTGTGAACTGTGAGCATGAAGACAATGAGCAGGAGACACTCACCAAGTTGTTGCAGTGTGGTCGCCTTCACCTGCGCAGGAAGATTTTCCGTCTGCAACAGACTTTCATACGCTTCTTTCGCCGCTCTATATTTCTTCTGCAAGACAGAATGACAGGAGGAGGTAAACCGCAAAGAAGGAGGGAGAGACGGAGAAGAGACGTTGTTCAAGCCAGACAGGACGGTCCAGTGTGTTTTATGGTTCTAACCGGACAGACACAAAGAGTCTTAAGACCTCCTCACACTCGTAATGACCAGCCAGACGAGCACACACACGGGGGAGGGTCAGCGTGGAAGAGGACAGGCCAGACTCAACACGTCTGGCAGCTTTAAGTGTTTCTGCTGCACTCCTCTGTCTGTGTGTGTCTGTGTGTGTGTGTCTGTGTGTGTGTGTGTGTGTGTGTCCATTGCAGCAAACACTGTTTTTTGGGGAAACCTGAGCTGCCTGGTCTAAGGTGAGCCCACTGTTTGTTTTAACTTGGCGACCTTATTGACCTCCAGTCTGAAATAGTACGTAAGGTGTGCACTTGTGAGTGTGTGTGTGTGTGAGTGTGTGTGTGTGTGCAGACTTGGCCAGTAATCAGATAAAATTACTTTTCAAATGAGGTGAATCTTACAATAAAACGCCTCACTTCAATCCTCTCACTAACTGATTTTGTCGACACACCTGTCAGAACGGTGCGTGCTGCAGTAACTCACTTCTCTGTGCACAGCTAGCGTCAGCTGCTAGCTCACAGTGGTGAATTATCCATCTCCAGTCTGTGTGAGGCGTAGTGTTCACTTTTGGTTTTAGAGGAAAATGTGCATTTGTTGTAGTCAAATTTTAGTTTATTCGATTTTTGTGGGACATCTGTAAACTGTAGTTAGAGAAATATCCTGGGCAGCATGTCTACAATGCACGCACACTGCTCACACATAACCCGCTAACACACACTGTTAACGATTTCTTATCAGCTCAAGTCTTCTCACCACCCCCATCAAACACACACACAGAGACAGTCTGGCATTGGACTTCCTGTCTACACACAATAAAGACACCTCGGGTTACGCGCTGACACTTGGGACATATAAATGACAGAGGGTCTGAGTGGTTCCTTCCTGTTACGACTAATGATTGTCATGAAGCCGAAGCAGAGCCAGACAACAACCACTGACAACACGGATCATCTGTTTGACTCAGCTTAAGATTCACCGCAGAAGAAGAAGAAGAAATTATCCGACGGCCGTGTTTTATCTTCACACTACAGTTTTGAGTTGAATGACGACTTTGCTTTCTCACATGCGGCCCCTCAGTCATAGTGCGCGAGAGCAGGGCTCCAGCACTCCGAGTCAAAATGACCCTGAAGCCGAGTTTAAGGTAAAATAGTTGAACTAAGTTGCATTAAGAGAAACCTTCACATTTAATAAGAAAAGACGGCTGCTTACCTGGATCTCATACAAGTGAGCAATGTGAAACTGAACTGTGGAGAAAAGAGCAGAGGAAAGAAGAATTTGTTTTTTTCTTGTCGTAATAAAATCAGTGATATTACAGATTCATTCAGATGAAGACTGCGAACAGTATGGAGGACAGATGGGAGGGGGACATTTTCCCCTGCGTGTACAAGTAATCTGAAATCACAGTGTGTACGTGCTCGCTCTCTCTCTCTCTCTCTCTCCCTCGCTCTCCTTCTGCTGTCTCCTAGGCAACCCCAGTCTTGGGCAGAGTCAGCAGGGAAATGGAAGCAGAGAGGAAAAATTACTCTGTAGAAATATTCCTGTGCCCTTTCAATATGTGCTTTCTGCCGCTGCATCAAATCTAATGTCGCGTCGTGCGGCGCCACACGGCTGGTTACTTTCCATGTGGCCCTGTGGTCGTTACAGCGGGACGACTTACTTTCAGCTTTGGACAAAGTGCAGAGATCGGAGTCGATCAACGCCAGCTGAAAATGCTGCAGAGAAGAGGAGAAGAACTTCATTAGAAAGGGAAATACATTTAAAAAAAAAACATGCACAAGTGAGAATTATCAGGTTAATGATACAAACAGTGATTTATAGGATGAATATATTTAATTCCTCTGGGTAATGACGGGTCTCAGATGATAAAGTAATAAATTACTCAAAAGTCTTGATGCTTCTAAAAAAAAACAGTGAAAGCAGAAATCCGCTTTGTACTAAAAAAGCCTCGACAGAGCCACAGCACGCCGTGAGTGAACCCTGGTGACCGTAACTTGAGAGACACATTGATAGCTGAGGGGAGGGGGGGGGGGTGTTGAACCATAGATATAGTCTCACTCAACTTGCTCCAGCCTCCCCTCCTTCCTGCTGTCCAACCAGAGGACAAAGGCACTGAAATGAGACGCTGACAACTGGTTTTATTCACAGTGTCCCGTCCTGTCACATGAACTTCAGACTGGGCTGCAGAGTAAGGCAGATGTGTACATGGCTGCCAAGGCGTGGCACATAACCAACTTCATCGATATCTCCAGAAACCCAACAGACCAGCCCGTGAAGACGTCACACAGCAGCACAGACGCCTCTCTGGGGTTCCTCCTCCACCCTCAGGGCTCCCATACAACTCAACTTCCCTCATGTGTAAGCAACCCTTACTTTGACCCTACGCTTGATTGAATGCAGGCGTGCTGTCGTGCATATCACACATCAGCACATGGAGGCTGCCTGAGCTGAGTGAAAACAGTTAAACTCAAGGTGTCGGATCCTGTAAATGTGTTAAGGGAGCACTCATGCACCATAAGCGGCTTCAGGGCTCCCAGCTGTGAAGCTGCACCGTGACCTGACCGCGCTCTGGTTTGGGTTTTTTTAAATAAAAAATAAATAAAAAAGGCTCCACCGCTGCTTTTTATTAGGGTCAGTAAAACATCCTGGACCTTCTGAAACCAGGAACTGCCCACGTGAGATCTACACACAGTGAGGGAACAGACTGTGCTGCCGGTGCTGCCGTACTCCACCAGTCAACTGGAGTGGATTTTTTTTTTCCAGAGGGAAAACGCTGTAACCTTAAAGGCAAACACCAGATAACTGCAATCTAGGGCAGCGGCAGCCACACACACACACATTCAGTCAGATAAAAATCAAGAACCGTCCAGCTGGAGCTTTCTCAGCTTCACCCAAGGCCAGTGGGAGCGTCACACACTTGCACGTGCACACACACACACACACACACACACAGGACCCTTTTTTAGAATAAAGTCCCTCCTAGGCAGAGCTATGTCACAGAACACACACACAGAATAGCGTTACCTAGATCGCTGGCAGATCACACTCCTGTTGGAACCCTGCTGCATCCTCCTGTAGATCTCTCCCTCGGTCTCCTCTATCCTTCCCTCTTTCACACTTGCTCTAGCAGCAGGCAGATAATGCAGCAGGATTGTCAGCTTGGCATTCCACCTCCCTTCCCATGTCTCGCCTCTCTCTCTCTCTCTCCCTCTCTGCTATCTTTCTTACACTCTCTCCACACTGCTCCCCCTCTTCTATCCTGGTGTCACTGATTACTATTCAGCAGACGGCTGCAGTGGAGAGTGCAGAGAGATGACACACAATACCTCAAAGCTGGAACAGGCAGGCTCAGACACCCCCCCTCCCCTCCCCACCTTCGTTCTATCTCACCTCCTTCCTCGGCTCAAAGCTCCTCTCTATGGCTACAGACAGTCGGCTTATCACCTTCCTGATGCACACTGCATAAATATGAAGGCTCTGATCTAATTTCTCCTCCTCTCATTGGCTAAATTTGCAGCCAATGGTTGGATTAAGTTATCCTGAGTATCGTGTTTACAGTCCCACAGGTGTAAATAGATAAAAATCAGATGCAGTAATATGATAATTTGTGGCGGCTGATTCCTAATTAGGTTACAGTTTATTCTTAGAATACTTCGTTAGCATCACTTCACAGCTCAGTCTCCGCCTCAACCTTCATAAATGGTTATAAACTGCATTTACATGCAGGTTTTTAAGATGTCAGGGCGAAGTGTAATCATGTCACATTCACGCACACACACACACACACACACGATGCAGAATCAGGAGCAGGTTCAAAGTGTTGCTCAAGGACACTTTGACACACTTTTTGTGGGATCAAACCAGGAAGCACGATCACAAGACGATAATAACCAAGATACAAGCTGCATAGAAAAAAAGTCTAGCTTCTCATCCTCTAGCATTTTATAACAATTTCCTGTTTCCCCTCTCGCGTTTCTCTCTTCTACCTTTATCCAATCTCCTCTCCTGTGAACGTGCACCCACCCCTCCCTGTAGATAAGTGGGGCAGTCGAGTGTGTGTGTGTGTGTGTGTGTGTGTGTGTGTNTGTGTGTGTGTGTGTGTGTGTGTGTGTGTGTGTGTGTGTGTGTGTGTGTGTGTGTGTGTCGGCAATGAGCCAGGACTAAGAGGGAGGGGTGCATCCAAGACTGAGTGAGGACGTGCAGCACGTGCAGCCGACTTCAGCTCAATACTGAACCATCTCTATCATCAACAGACACAGTTGTATATCCAGCTCATCTTCTCACACAGACACACAAACAGACACAAGCCCCGTCCATATAGATCTCTCTAAATATTAGGGAGAAAAACATTTCCAAAACCAAACCCCCCCCAAACAAAGAACATCTAAATAGACAGAACTTGAATTAAGAGAAGAAACCATTTTTTACATCAAATTAAAGGTAAATGCAGCGAGCTCGGTTAATTGATATTTACCCGTCAGGCTCTAAATACTGTCTCTAGAGAACCTAAATCATTCAGTTTCCAAACATAGCATGTGAGTTTAAATGTAAAATAAAATCCCTCCATAATGAGCTCACTGCGTTAACACCCACAGAACAAACCCTGTGACACAACGTCTGCAGCAGGACAAAGCCCAGGATCAGATAGCAGTCTGTCCCTACAGGGGACCAGGACTCTCAGAACAATGGATCCATAGGCTGCAGTCAGAGAGCTCGTCGTCACTCTCTGGACGTGTGCGGCTCACAGGTGTCAGGAGAGGGTTTAACTCAGAGACGAGACAGACGATCCACCAGCCTTTGTTAGTCTGAGGATGAAGGAGCTACTCTCTTTTTGACGACACATCAGCAGAACAATGCAGAGCGGAAGGAACGTAAAACGATTCTCCTGCGTTACCGTTGTGATCGTTCACTGGACGACCACAAAGTTGATGAATGAATAAAGGAGAATATATCATCAGTCTTTGTCTGCGGGACAATCAGAATAAAAATGTGGTTCTGTGAGTGGAATCCGTTTTACATGAACTGCTTCCAGCTCCTGTTTGACCGAAGCCCAAATAAATAAATAAATACATGTATTAAATCACTATCACAGTTTTTAGATTTACCTTTAAGCTCGACTCGTAGTCTGTGTTGACTTTAAACATGAGTCCCAGCCTCAGATGAATCTCTTTCGCTCTGGAGAAGCTGGGGTCAATGTAGAGCACCTCCTGGAACGCCTTGATCGCCCTGGAAAAAAATAAATCAAACAGAGACCCAGTGAGTTCAATACAAATGATCCACCTCGTTACAACAGTGTCGTTCTCTCGCCTCGTTCCACCGCAACAACAATCACTGGTGGTTTCACAAACTCTTATATCAAATGACTCAACACTGATAATATGGTGATAACTCTCTGTATGACTGTGGCCACCTGTGCAATCCAGACAAAAAATATTCAAAACAGAAATTGCAGTTAGGTGGTTTGAGATAAGAGTTTTCTTTGTTGCCATGGTAGAGCATGAAAACACAACAAGCTAATTTTCTTTTGTCAGTTTTATCTAAATATATTAATATCACATTTTATGCGTTGAATCCTGCATCAGATTTATGATCTGACTAACGAGGACACACGAGCGTTGAGAGGACGCGACAGATCACCGAGGATCCTCTGGAACAAGTCGCATGAGACCTTTGAAATAAAACGTGTAAATGTCGCTTTGTTTGGGGGAAATTCTGGATTTTTGACATCAACCCTCAACTGAGAAGATGATGGATGCCACCATAGTCGAATTGTGTCGCCACAGTGTCGTGACAGACGTTTTCAGACATGACATGCGGCTAAAACAAGGAGAATTAGCCGCAGAGTTTACCGCAGTTCTCCTTTCAAACATGCAGAACACAGCAGTAACAAATCCTCTGCATTATTCAGGCGAGACGTTTAGCCGCCGGGTGCAGCAGTCAGAGACAGGAAGTGAGGTATTAACTCCGCTGCACTGATCACGTGATCAGACAGGACAAACTCTCTTGAAACATTGACCAGTGTTTTCCACGTGTGCTTCACCAGGAGACGTTTCCTTTTGGTTTTGTGTTCTTTTTATTTTAGTGTCTGTCACGTGTTTGAACCCCCCCCCTCACAGGCTGTGTGTTCACACATGTATGTCTGAAAGCAGCTAATGATACAAACTTGTTTTGTGGCACTGAGGCAAAGAGCAATCCACACGGTGCTACTGTTAATCAACAATGCAAATCTAATTTATTATGTTGCAATGACAAGTGTTCGGATCATCATAAAAACATGTGGCGGGCCGCCGTGGGAATAGTTTCACAACTGCAGTGAATTATGTGAAAGTGCTGAAATGGTGCTTTTTGTGTTAGCAGTGAATTTTCTACTGTTCGAAAAACAAACTACTCTACGGAGACAAGAGCAGATTACAACAAACACAAGTTTCCAATTGAAGTCACTCACTGTGTAGCTATGACAACAGCATGAAGCGCTTCTTCTGTGCGAGAAGGCAGAGCACTGAGCTCACTACTGACAGCGTGCACACACACACATCGCACACACACACACACACTGAACCCATTGCCCCCTTTCCCTCCTACTCATCTCCCTCCCTCTTGTATCTGGTCCCTCCCCCCTTTCCTCCCTCGCTGGCAGGATCCACAGTCAGCGCTTGGAGAGCTCAGCTTTTCCACACAACAGGCTGTGACACAGCGTATAACAATGATGGACGACGCTCATCTTTAGAAACGGGCAGGAAGACAACTGCACGTTTCTCTGAATGAGGCAGAAAACACAGTGCGTCTTCTTTATATTGATTCCGTTTGATGCTCTACATCTATTATCGTCTCAGATTTTGTCGATGACCATCGCGCAGACGGGACAGTCGGCCCAGTGTCTCCCTGAGCGAGCACCACCTCATCCCTGTGAAGTAACGTTCACCATTTGACAGCTCAGCATTGCTCTGGGCTTTGGGCTCAGGGTGACGTAATCCATCCTCGAGAGCCCAACATGACACCCTCCCTTCCCCCACTGTCACATTTCTTCGGGCCGCGGAGATGGGGACACACAAACTTGGCAGAGCAGCGACAGTGGAATCTTTCAGGGACGCGGGTGAAGTAGAGGGGCAGCGCTCGGCCAATATGAAGAGAAAGGCCACCGCGGTTCACCAGAGGTAAAGAGGCTCTGTAAGGAAGCAGCGTGAACTGCCAGATACACCTGCCACTGCAGGAGCGGACGTCTTCACTGAGCTGAGAGATGATCAGTGAACCTTAAGCTGCAGAACAGAGTTCCAGCTACAATATCCAAACATGCACTTATCAGCTTTCATCCATGTCTAATCTCTATTAAGGGACTGTGCTTGTGAATATATAGAATATGTGGACACGATTCTGGGGCTGGAGGCATTTCCTTTAGTTTGAGAGCAGGCTGTGGATGCCCGCAGGTAAACAGTCGTGTGGGGAGCATGAGAAGCTGAACACATTGACTATCAGCTTTTTAATTAATCTGAATTCACGTGTAGATAGCTTGATAGCTGAGTAGGGGTGGGAATCTCTAGGGAACTCATGATTGCATCCAGAGGGCTACGATCCGAAGATAAAATAATTATCGATGCGTCAATGATTTTTATTTCTTAAAATAATCTAGTTAGACTATAAACGGCCGGAGGGCTCAGACAGCTGATTGATGAAACAGCTGCATTTTAAAGAACGTCTGCTTCATTTTTATCAGCAGCTACAAAATCTGAGGTGGACTGTGAAGGTAACACTTTGCTTTTAACACGCACGTCTAGCAAAATGTACACACAAAATCATCACACCCGCTGTATTTTGTTATTGGCACTACAAGAAAAAAAGGCTGATGGTGATGTTCTGCTCCTTATGAGAGAGAGAGAGATGCTCATTGGACTTGAAGTCCAACACCAGCTAATAAATCTTTATGATTAAAACACAGTATCCAGGACAAACACAACTGGTCGTCTCAACCGAGGAGGCTGACGTGACCTGGACAAACATCACAGATACATCAATAAAAATACTGGAGCTTGACAGAGAAACCTTCCCCACAAACATATTTAAATTCCTGCCACTGGTTAAGATTTGGTGCTAACGGACACAGCATCAGACAGAGACCTTCGCTGCCCCGAGCCTGGGGCAGACACCCAGGGAGCCATGCAGCTCCACAGTCCACTTACAGTGTTCATTCTGGGTCTTTTCAGAAAGCGGAATCAACAGATAGCACCAGGACAAATGCTACAGCTGGAAATCTAGAAAGCTGTATTTTTTTTATCTGCACAGCTCTAGATAGGTTTCATCTGCAGTGGATCTCAAGAGAATGTACAAGATTCAAAAGCACCCACTGCACTCCGTGGTGCAACACCACATTCAATTCTCAAGATTTCCATATGTCGAAACCAGAAAGGAACATTTTAGGATTAACACAGAATCGTTCACGAGTCAAGGTGTAGGTACCTGTTCTGAACTAGGCCAGAGGTATTCTGGAGCCAGCTCTGCACTGAACACAGATGAAATGTCAGTGTTCTCATGATACTGAAGGTAAGAAAGTGAGTTTGTATTCACCGAAATGTCGAAGCTGTTATGTCTAACTGTCAGACGCCGTGCGTGTGTAATGAAAAAGATTGTTTCAGAAAGCACTTACCACTGAGAAGCGTTGAAATGGAAGTAAACCATTCCGAGGCCGTATAAAAAGGCAGCATTCTGGGAAAACAGAAACAAGCGTTAAAGATTACAAACTGCAACTCAAACGTGCTTGAAGAGGGTTTTATGCTGTGTCAGCATTTGCATATAATGACAATGCCATGATAATAAAGTAAAGAGTTCCCTGGAGTCCAGGAACCGATCCTAACCAAACACTTCAGAACGTATAAGCTGCAAAGGCAGACATTATGGTCACTGCAGGAAATGTGACAGATCTTAAAATAATAAGAGATATGAGCATAACTCTGAATTACATAATGGTGTTGAAGACTGACTAGTCGCTAAGACAGCATCTCAGTCAATCACTACAAAAAGGACTGTCGCCTTATGCTTTCAAAATCACTGACTATGAACGTGCCTGAGATAAAACCTGCGCTGTAACAGTTTTAAATCGTAGACGCAGTTAAACCTAATTTGATTTTTCAAGCTTCCTATGTTCACTTTGAATCGACTGTCCCAGATAACACATGTCACACATTTTAAAAAGATTAGAGTCGACACGTCGACTCACTGAACTTAAATCAATATATTTTAATCGATGACCACACCAGTCTGGCCCTGGCCAATAAAAGCTCTGCTGTTGGGCTCTAAGAGACGTCTGCCCCACGACATCATCTGGCAGAGACTGGGAGCTCGCACCCTCCCTTCACGGTGGAGATCTGTAAAACCGAGGATCCCCGAGCTGTCACATCTGATCACAGTTGAGCTCTTAGCGCCTCCGTTTAACGGCCATTCCAAACAGCGACACGTCAAATCAAAGGGGCCTTTTGACCCCACTGACAGCGTGGAGAGGGCAGGCTGGACACGGTCAAACAGCTGATTGGACAATTTAAAGCCCAGGCCATGAGCGGGAACTCAGGGCAATCCAGAGTAATACTGAAATACGGTAACGTTCACCGTGTTCTATTACGTTCCCGTAAAAGGTGCTGGAGACGGAACACTCAGTGAAAAGAGGGTGGGTACTGGACGTAACAGTCATCGGGTGGAAACAAACACTGCTCCACATGAACGAACACGATGCTCTGCAGCCGGCCGACAGATAAATAAACTGTTGGCTCAAATTAAAAGGTGGTGATATGTTAATAATGTGTTGACGTGTTTCTTGAGCCCAGAACAGAACAAAACAACAGACCAATAAGAAAATGTTGATTTTCTTTGAATAACGACTACACACTTGTTGAACTTCATGCTAGAGGTGTAAAGATGAGGTCTAAACATCAAGGACATAGACTGTGTGATTGCATCAGTCTTTCAGTCCCACACTGTGCACGATGGGTCCAATAATAATCTTTGTGGTAAATCAACGAAAACACTCGTGTGTTTTGAAAATCTAGAACAACTAACCAAGCTTCGGTCTGAGAGCTGGCAAGTCAATGCATTAAAAAAACTAGAATGGCCTGTGGTTAAGCCCACGCCTCTGCCAAGGCCCAACCGTCCCCTGAAATGTACACTAACTACGTGCACAGAGTACGTGCACACAGAGGGTTAAAGTGGCCGGATCTTCAGTATGGAACAGATCTGATTGTTTAGTGACAGTGTGAACAGCACAGATCACATGCAATCTGATCTTTCATATCAGATTTGGGCCATTTTCAAATGTGGTTCTTAATTAGACAAAGATATGATGTTTTTGAAATGCAACCTCAGTCTGAACGGACATTGAGGTTTCAGACCTCATAAGTAATTGGGGCGACACATCTGTACAAGCAGAACTTTAGGGGTTGTGTTTGAAAGCATATCAAAACGCCTACAATGACCAGCTCAGACCGGAGTCTAATACTGTCCACATTTTAAAAGATAACGTGAAGAGCTTCATAAAACACAAGTGAGAAAAGTGTGTAATGTTGAAATCCTATGTAACAATAATCACTAGAAAGACAAAAAACATTTTTTGGGTGCGCACCAAAATGTAAAGGGTTCTTCCCCGACTCACACCACATCCTTCCACCCAGTTTGTTGAAAATCTGTTCGACCGTTTCTGTGTAATCGTGCAAAACATCGAGGAGGAGATTGTGAAGCTGATTCACAGCCACAAAGAAGAGATAACATCAAATGCCGAATTCTGCAAAGTAAAGATACAACTGCTTCTTTTAGCAACAGCATTATGCTCTCATGTTTGTGTTCCGCTGCTCTTCATACTTGATTCTGAATGATGTTTGGAAATGCCGGTTGTGACTACAGTCAGAATGTGGGATTACTTTCTACGTTGGCAGTCTACGGGCGTGTCATAATTTAGGATCCAGTTCTGGATCGACCAGCAATGATTTTGAACAGTTTGTCTCTCAACTGTCAACCGTCGCCTGTGACACCTCAGAATTGGTGAAACACACGCAGGACAGATCTTCTAGGTCACATTGTTACTCTTCAGTTCAAAAGACAAAATATTGACCACATGCAGAAATTCACAGGTTAACGTGTGAGCGTCCGTTATACATGTGACCATTTTAAGGAAGTCATTTTGAATCATGTTTGTTGCTTAGGACTCTCACCTCTGGCAGGAAACAATTGATTCTTTTGCCAAAACGCTTGACTGACATGTAATTTGCTTTTTAACTTTGCTTTTCTAGCTAACCTGCAATCAAGTCCGCAACCCTATGAGCAACTGCAAAATATGGAAACTCTGCTTTGACCACAGCCTGACAGATCTATGACCAACTGTCAGACATTCCTTGGAGCCCATGCACGCTGCTCTATTAGCATTTATCACCATTCTGCTCGTCATGCAGTGACCTTACATGCACCGAAGAGTTCTTCACGTGTCACAGAGATCACATACATGGAGCTGAAAAACCAGCCAACAGGGTTGTGATGTGTGCAGCTCGCTCTCTCTTAGTCATCGTTCAACAGAACATTACAGTTGACTCCACTCTGCATTGGAGGTGTTTTCTATTGTTTGGCTTAATACATACACAAGAACACTGGATTTGGATTTAAACTATAAGGTTTCAGTGGTGGGTTTCAGTTTTACAGTGTCTGATCATGTTCACAGTCATAGAGCTGCATCAAAACATTCCAACGTGTCCCAGTTTCAGGGGAAATGCGGCAGAAGAAAGAGAAGCAGGCTGAAAGCTAAAGGCCTCTGAAAAAAGGAAGAAATGACGACAGCTGCAGAGCAGATCTAACAGAGTTTAGACAAAATACTGCAGCCTGTGCTCTGCAAACATGCAGAACTATGTGGACCCAACAGCAGACAACACAAACAACAATTTACAACGCTGGAAAGAACAGAAGGTCCTTAAGAGCAAAGTGTTCCACGTGTGTACTGTTTTGCAAACTCACCTTCCAGTAGTCCGACTGTAAACTGAAGTACCTCTGGTATGCAGATAATGCTGCGTAAATGAATATTGTACAGAAGGAGAGACAGAGGGAGGGAATGATTAGTGACAATGTTAAAAACTCAACATAATCAATTCATCTAAACTGTGTCACTTCCTGTGAGTCCTCCAGGTCTCAACTGATCCCGAGACACGTTTCCATGAGAGGAAGAGGAGGACGAACAGTAAGAGGCAGGAAGATTCACACACTGAGACTCTCACCTTTCTGATAATCCTCCAGCAGGAGGTTGAAGTGGCCCAGCTGACAGAAAATGTCAGGGTCCACTTTCCCCTCTGCTTTCAGGATGAGGGCATCATAGCAGCTAACAGCCTGAAAGAGAAATCGAAAACAGTGAAGGTTTGAGCCGCAGCGACAGCAGCACTGAAGAATACTGAGCCTGACGGTTTGTATATCCTGTGCATGTTACAGAAAAACACCATGTCACAAACAGCCAGTCTAATTACAACCTGACCTTAATGCTGAGGCTGTTTATGTTTATAAGAGGTGCTGATCAGATACCGCTGACCGATGAGCCACCAAGCCACGGGGGACGTTTTGCATAGTACCAGCTGTACGCCCAAATATGGAGCTTGTCAGTCAGTATTTAAACAACGGCTAAACAAATTACTCTTGATGGCCGTAGAGGAGGAATGATTAGTGTGTCTGCGTGTGCACACTCATATGTGCAACAAAGCAATTATGTTGGATGCAATGTGTCATTGTGGAGAAACAATTTCAGCTCATAAAAAGGGTAATTTGCTCTTTTTATAGAACATCACCTTCAATGTATGTTTTCTGGGCTTTACGCACACAAATTTAAAATGGCTACGAGTTCAGGTTTTGTCGGTTTTGTCACGAATCTGAATCAAAGAAGTGGGTGAAACACTTTTCAATATTACGTTCCTGCAAAAGTCACTAAGCCAGACTTGTTTAGTTTTTGTAGCATTGAGGTTGTTATGTCTGTAACACAGCATGCGACGCAGGTATTTAGAACTACAAAAGAAGATTAGGATCTCTCTAACACGTGGGGCCTGCAACACTGCCACATTCAGTTATCTGGTTACCGCAGTCAGCAACATTCATATGATAATATATACTTTATATTTGTGTCTTGTTTTGAGGAAGCAAGTAGCTTCTGATGTCCTGGATCACACTGATCTCCATGGAGCACAGGAAGCGTTCAAGTTACACACTCAGGTATAAACTGAAGCTGTTTTCAGACATGAACACCAGAGAATGTCCTCACAATGGGGTCCAGGGTTTTCCTTTCACCCATAGACAAAGCAGCAGGAGTTCACGACCACACAGACATCATTCAGGTGAGGGGTGGCGCAGCAGACAGAGGCAGGATGTAGCGTTCTGCTGAGATGTTTACTCACAGCCTCATTTGAACATTAGCTGGAGTTTTTAACATTACACATGCAGCCCCTGTGGATAATGTCAGGAGATTATTCAGAGTTCAGTGCATGTCCGAAAGCAGCTTCGGTCGTGTTGTAAGTGAGCCAATGTATAAGATCATAGATGTGTTAAAATTTAACATTGTGCATTATTACATTATATTGCATCGTTTAGTGTTGGACGGCCAACTGTTCTCATTTAAAGGGTCAGCGTATTCAAATAAGTACATAGAACGAGCTTTGTGCTGATTTAAATCCAAAGAGCTAATTCCACTGCAACTTTGAGAGCTGCTGTGTGCGACGAGGAGTCTCAACATTCAGTCACAATACGATTCCACCTCACCACCGTGGTCTCCCCCTCTCCCCATGACGGAGAGCATCTGTGTTCATGTTCACAACAAAGAATCACTCTCACATACATGTTTCCTCGACATTAAACACATGCACGCACAAATCATGCATTGCCGCTCACACCAAGCTCAGGCCCGGCAGAGCGGCCTGCACAAGACACTTCCATGTGCATCTTCAAATCTGAAAACTGTATCAGGACCAAATTTGACGGTGTGGTCTCCAGATCAGTTTAATCAGTGTCTCATACTAATGTGACACAGTCACGTACAGGAAGCAGCCTACCATCATAACGTGCATTGCTCCATGTGATGTGTGAGCAGGCACGTCACCAGGGTAAGAAGCACAACAACAACAACACAAACAATGATAGTAAGTGGCTGCATGTCTGGGCCTCGTGTGTTAGAAGCTCTGATGAAACATCCACACACAGCAGAGACCCAGCAGCCACATGTTGAGGACGCAGGAGGAGCACGGGCAGCGTAGCGGCAGTAACACGGCTCCTGCGTGTGCACCCCCGGCTCCAGGCTTAATGAGCCATCTTTGTTGTAAACACTGATCGCCTTCTGTCGCCACATCTTTGTTTTTCCTGTGAATGGTGATTAGCCTAGCAGCTGCTGCTGCTGCTAGTTAGCGAGCAAACGTTTAGCTCGGGTTATTCTCTCCCCGTCCCCGCCATCTTGGGGCCGCGTCAAGCAGCCATTATTTCAGAAACCCTGGGTGCACTTTGTGTGTTTGTTTGTCCCTCGACAGTGTCGGACCGGCGGCGTGGTCCCGGCCCCGTGTGTGTGTGTGAGAGAGAGAGAGACGGAGCAGGTTAGCCGCTACATGCTACCACAGGGGGCTGACGCACGACTCGTCCCCGGGGCTGGGACTCTAGATTCGAACATTTCTGACAACTTGCTGCTTCTCCTCGATGAAGTGCATCAACAGAGTCACGGGTTCACTTGTGGAAGTCACAGATAAACACAGAGAGAGAGGGGGGGGCTGTTCACCTGGAGCCCGGGGTCCCGTCGTTTACTGCTCGTTACCGCTGCACACACACACCCGGAGCACCAAAGTGTTTTCTACACACGTGTCTGCATGTGTGTGTGTGGAGCATGAGAAACATATGTGCACGGACAACAACAGTGGACGCGATGCTACCACCTAGCATGGCAGCTAAGCTCCCCACGACCGAAGGTGTGAGCAGGGTGGAGGTGGCTGCTGCTCCGGGCCCCATGCTGCTGATAAACAGTGCACTCGGGGTCGGTTTAATGCGAATGTCGCCCGGTACTTTCAGAACAACCACGGTCCTGACTCAAGCTGCCTCCACAGCGAGCCGCTGCTCCGGACTCAAACTTGGGGCATATCGGGGCTTGTGTGCGGCTGGAGCCGGGACAGCCCGGGTGTGTGGCACCGGTTCCAGGGCTGCACTGGCGAGGGGAGATAACGGAGGAGCGGGGAGCGTGAGCCACACTGTGACATACCTTTAACAGCAAGGCCTTCGTTCTGGCGCCATCTTCTTGAAGCCTGTGAAATCCAAACAGTGAACTGCAAGTAGAGGACAGACAACACACAGGCGGCTCCGTGTTACTCGGGGACATTCGTTGTTTTCAAACTGCAACACAAGCGCAGGACAAACCGCAGGAAAGCGGCGGGTGAGGAGGGCTCACACCGCGGCGGGTCTCACCTGTCCGCCCCGGCCAGGCTCTCCTTCTCCTGCGCTGTTAGCTTCGGAAAGTCCTCTTCGATTTCGGTCGCTTTTCCCGACGCCATTTTCTCCTCGTCATTACCAGCAACGCCGAGACTCCGGGCAGCGGCGGAGGAGGAGGCGGCGGCGGGGAGCGACACTCCGCACGACTTCATGGGGGAGAAGCGGGAGCAGGGTCGACGGGCACCGAGCAACTCCTGCGGAACGACACGAGACGGGAAAGTGTCGCGCACCTTTCCACGACTGAAACGGGGCGTAAGCGTGATTGTTGCCAAATCCTCAAGGAAACGATCCCTTCGAAGCGGCTTCCACAGCCGTCATCGCAGGTGGAAACACGGCGGCTCCTGCACCGACAGCTGCCGCATGAAGCTGCTGAGCGCGCGGGTCGCGGAGTCGCTGCGGTTCCCTCGGAGCTCAAACTTCGACCTGCGGCTCAAACTTGTTGTAATTGTGTCACACAGGCAGACGCACGCCGCCGCCGTCGACACGCCCTCCGCCGGGGCCCGGCCAATCAGCGGCCGGGCTCCGGCGTCACGTGAGCGTCTCCGGTTGATGTGTCGCGCGCACGCGGAGGAACGCGCGCACGCACACACATATCAGAAACGGGCCCGCCCAGAGGCCCGCGATTGGACGCCGGCGCCGTATTATGATTACGTAACTGCGTTTCAAGGCAGCCCATTGGTCAGAAGAGCTGTCGTTCAAGTCTGCTGGGGG